TACGATGAAAGTACCTAGAAAAACATATCTAAATTGAGGAATATTTTTTATTTATGGTTGATTTTGGGTTTGGGGAGGGTTTTGGGGTTTTTGAGGCCATTGATTAATTTAACAAGATTCCTAAGGTATTTTTAAAGTGTATTAAGTTAAAAAGAGTTTTTAAATCAAAAAAGTTTCATCCCTAATTTTTCAACCATTACAATGGCTGGAATCTAAGCACAATAAAATAACGTGTCATTTGAATATTTTTTTGAAAAAATAACAAAAACAATATAAGAGTCCAAATGCATTGGCTTGGCTTGCCAGCGTAATAGTGCACAATTTTTTTTTTCAAAATAAATTTTTAATTTAGATTTAAATTAATAATTGTTATCTCTTTAATTTTGTTTATTTAAACTTTTTTAAATAGCAGTTATTTTTTAATTATTTTGTACATATTTAATTATTCTAATTTATCTGTAATTATTTTATTTTTATGTTTTATATGAATAAAAAATGTTTTTTTATAATATTTTTAATAAGTATAACCTTATAAAATATTATTTTTATTTGATTTAATCAATTTCATGTGTGCCTATTTATATTATCATTTGGTTAAATAAAAATATAATTTTAGCAAACAATGTTATTGAACACAAGCATATCAAAAACATGTATTGCGAGATTAAATATCTTTTATTTATATATATTTTTTTATTTTTCTATTTTGATTTTTATCTGTTATTAATGATTATTTTTTTATTTATTAACATATATAATTATTTATTTATTTAATTACATGTATGTGTAAATTTTTTGCTTTATATTTTGAATTTTTTTACGCACAAAAACTTGATAAAAAAACCTATGTATATAACTTTTTTGATAAAAATATATCTGAACCACAACTAAACACGGGTCAACAAATAGCTAGTCAGGACCATAAGGTCAAAGTTTTTATCTTATTAAAAGATCTTGCTCGCGCCAGAGGTGGAGCTACCACCTCCGGCATGGACATGGACATGGACACGAGAGCAGTGGTTGAATATACGCATGCCCAAATCAGCTTCTAGAGCGTACCTAGCAGTGCTCAATTGATCTATTTTACAAGCAGTGATAATAAAATATATGTTCAGCCTCCAGGATTATACAATTGGATTATGTTATTTTATCTCAGTCCTCTCAGTAGTTGAATATGAAACTGCGGCTCCTAAATATTAAATGATAAGACATCCTCTCTCTGGCGACTTTGTGCAATAATGTTTCTGAGTAATTTTGGTCAAAGTTTGCTAGGAGAAGGAGCAATAGGAAGGTTGGACTCCGAGCTAGCAAGGGGCATTAATGGCGAAGAAGAGCGGGAACAAGGGTGGCGCTATCTCGGGAAGGCATCATCCCATTTCTTCACCGCGTCTCTACTCCCCCACCAAACGATCTGTGGCGGGAATTTTATCTTAGTTGTCACGCACTGAAGCTCAATTATTTAATGATTCTTTTCTTTTCTTTTTTCAATTTGGTTAGAAGGTCATATCAATTTTGTCCAATTTGTTGGGTGATTAATTTAATAATGCTAATTTCTCATAAACACGCCTGTTTTTTTATGTTAAATTCTTTGGAAGACTTATCGTTACTTAATTGTTAAAAAGGGTCACGAATTTGGTACTAGATTGAGATTTATTAATTCAAATGCTGGATGCCTAATTAACTTTTGCTTTACAAGACTAAAATGCTGGATGCCTAATTAACTTTTGCTTAACAACACTCTGTTGTTTATCATCTCAATTACAAAAAAAATTATATTTTTTTAATTGTATTTTAAAACTTTTTTTATGTGATTTAGTTTTAATTAAAAATCAATAAATTTTTATTTTTATTTTATTAAATTTTTTGTAGAATTTCTTCTATATTTATAACACCCAAGTTATCAACTAATCCCATACATTTCAAAAAAATTATTTCTCAAACTCAATCCAATCACCCTAAATCAGTATCATCACAATATTGCACAAGTCATGTTTTTTTTTTTTTCCCAACTCTATTTCCCTTTCTTATATTTATATGTTAAAAGCAAGCTACAACACAACACGCGACCATATGAATATTTATTCATGATATAAGAAAAACTTCAAAATAATTATAATATCCATTCATGATTGAAACATTAAAGAATTTTCAATTCATAGGAAGCATGATACATTATCTAATATTAACTAAAATGAATAATAAAGTAAAGTTCACAATAAGAAACATGAATTAATACCCCTCACCGCAAGACATAGAATAATTGCCAAGTGGAGTTCATGAGATCAATTTTATTACATGGGAATCCAAAAGTTTAACATAGGGACTTGGTCATTGGTTGCATTAAGATTTACATTAGCTAACATCTAGTTATCTATATCTATAGTAAAAAAGGCATAATTAAAATACAATAGTTATCTATATCTATAGTAAAAAAGGCATATCTCCAGCTAAAAATTTATATTAAATATAAAAATTTAAATTATACAAATATTAATCTTAATAATTAAAATACAATGCTTTACTTTTTTATTATGTAAATTTCTCCTTTAGTCAAATCTTCTTAACATACAATTAATTTCTCAAAAATATAAAGTTGAAAGTACTAATATCAACACAAATCCATTGATATTTTTAGCTTCTATAGTCCTAAAGAAATCATAACATTATGTAATATCCATATCAACATAATCCATATCAATATCATTAATCTTCAAGATTTGGTAAGCTAATCAAGTTCTCAGTAATTCTAATATCAACATAATTATATTGATATTTTTAGTTTTCATGATCCATAAAAAATCATAATATTATGTAATGTTGATATCAACATAATCTATACTAGTATCATTATCCTCTAAATTTTCAGTTGGCTAATCAAATTTTCATTTGTTTTAATATCAACAAAAGCTTGTTGATATATTTAGCTTTTATAATTTAAAAAAAATCATAATATTATGTAATGCTATATCAATATAATTCATATTAGTATTATTAGTCTCTAAGTTTTGAAAAGTTAGCCAAGTTATATTATAAGTTTTTTTTTAAATGATTGGAAATACACACTATATATATATATATATATATATATATATTAAAGCATAGTGAATCTACCATGCCCATTAGTCTCAATCCACTATGGAGGGAAAATGTTCCCCTCACGTTTTTTAAAGTCTATGTTATATCTGTTAATAATTATGAAAACTTGTAATTAAGCATATATTCGAGCAGAAGATTGTCATGACTAATATACACGCACCTCCCCATTGTAAAACCCAATCTAGCCTAATAAGTCTATATAGAATTTGATTGATTCAAGATATAGATTGGTCTGAATTAAAAAAAAAAAATCTACGTGAACTAATTAAAATATATAAATTAACTTCTAACCTAGATTAAAAGCTGGTCAATAAAACCCTTGATTTTTGTTTTGAATTAGTTTTTACAAAACTTTGCCATTTAACCTATCTATTTAAATAATTAATTTGAGGGGTTAACTTTTCAGAACAGTGACACTAGCCTTGACTCGAATAGACCTGGTAGTTTCATAGCTTAGATAAATACAGTGCCAGCATTTATTATATTAATTAAACTTAAAATTGTCTTGGCTGAATTTAGGTGCTATGGCCGCCCACAAATACTGACCTGTTCTGAATCCACATGCCTATCCCGTGAGTGATTGATTGTGTTATTTTATTGAATAACACAGTTATGTCATGAAAGTTTGTGCACCCAACATTTACCAGTAAAATCTGTCAAAAATCTGCGCCTACATTGCTCGCTGTAGACCATTTATAAGGCTTCCTTGCATGATAGATACAGTTTTTTTTTTTTTTAACATTCCAAAAATACTTTTGATTTTTTTTAATTTATTTTTAAATTATTCTGATACGATAATATAAAAATAAAATTTTAGAAATATCTGCGCCTACATTGCTCGCTGTAGACCATTTATAAGGCTTCTTTGCATGATAGATACAGTTTTTTTTTTTACATTCCAAAAATATTTTTGTTTTTTTTTAAATTATTTTGATACAATAATATAAAAAAATTAAAAAAAAACATGCAATAGTGCCGAAAGATGTTTGTCCGGGCTGAATAATGTTACCACAAATTGGGTGGTCCAAGGACCACCTCATCTTTTTTTCCTGTAGCCACATTTCGCCGCATTATCCAATAAATATGTGGATACACAGATTGCTTGCTAACTGCTACATGGTTAGGTTTTAAAGCCTTTGTCTTGTACTTCTAGAGATTAAGCATGTGGATATATAGTTTGGTAACCACTTTTAAGTAAAAAAATCATATAAATCTGTAATGAAGCAATTAATTTTGAAAGTGTTCTTCCATTATCATCCGTGAAGATTATACAAAAATTAAAAATCAAAACCTGTTGCAAGTATCATATATATATATATATATATTTATATTAGTTATGAGCTGTTAGTGTTAGAAAAAAAATTTAGTTAGCGTGTTTATGAAATAGTTGAGATTGCTTTTTACATGATATATTAAAATAATAATTTTTTTTAAAAAATTATTTCAGATATTATTATACAAAATAATAATTTTTTTAAAAAAATTATTTCAGATATTATTATATCAAAATAATTTAAAATATTTTAAAAATATAAATGTGAAGTAAAGAAAATAAAAAAATTTAATTTTTTTTAAAAATTTTAAAACACAAAAACAAGCATAACCTTAAAGGTTATGATTATGGTGCAACCGATCAGTTTTATTTCAAATTATTGTTTTGATGTTTTTAATAAAAATATAAATTATACTATAATTGTTATCAAACAAGCATGGTTTATTTTTATAGATATTTCATTTATTATTAGCGATGTATTTAAAAAAACAAAAATAATATTCTCAGGAGAGGGATAAATTACAAGGGATATGAGTAGAAATTAAACATTTGGTACAAGATTTACTGATAAGCTCATTGTCAATGATACATTTTATGTATAATTGGCAATAATTATAATAAACATCTTCCAAAAAAAACTGCAAAACATAGTAATAATTTCACTCATAAAGATAAAAAGAAGTAAGCCATAAAGAAATAAATAGACCAATTCGACCAGCTTTCAGGGTGGAGCCAGCAGCTAAGTTATCTTAGCAAACGGTTCCAACCCAAATTAGAGAGAAAAAAAAAACATTTGCTTAATTAATTAAATTAAGCATCGGCAATGGTCCAAGTCATATCATTCTCAAAAATCCAGTGACAGACCTCGATCCGGCCCGGACCCGGACCCAGGGCCAAAAAGGCTCCATGGGTGGGGCTCCAAGAAGATGTATCCAAGTGGCAGATGGCAACACCATGATTTATCGTGGCCTTGCTATTTGGATCCAAAAGATCGGCTTCGTCCGCTTCGTACACCCGCACTTTAGGAACAGAGTGGCAGTAATAGAGCAGGTAAGGATAGAGGCTCTGGTGACAAGAGACTGACCTGGTCACTCTCCCACCGTTAATCCCTTTGATCGATCCAATCATGATGTTTTTCTTCGAACCGTTCACGTTATCCGTCGTACGGACAGCCACGTTGCGGCCTAACACAGAGGTTGCAAAATCGATCATGTCCTCGGCCGAGCCCACACAGCGCTTGGTCTCGCCAGGGCTGGGTGATCTCTCACACTCTTCAAGAGCATCCAAAATGATCCTCTCCATGCTTGAATTATCACTAGCATGAAAAATTTCCTTCAGCTGATAAATTTTGGAGGTGGAAAAGGGTAATTTGGAGATGATGGAGCGAGGCAGAAAGGATCTTTTGGGCATTTTGTCTCGAATGTCCGGCATTGGCATCACACTTCCCTTCTTCAACATCGACTCCCGGAAGAATTTTCCGGGCTCTATCCACTTATTGTTCTTTACCACACTGTCACTGGTTACCTTCATTGAAGCATCGGCAGTGCTTGCGCTAGTGTACCCGGCAAAAGTGACGTCCTTCTTATTGGCATAGTCTTTGAAAGTGGTGTTTACTCCGTAGATCTTGAACCCAATCCGCTGCCCCATGGCTCCATTCCCATAGCCAGAGAACTTATCAGTCCCTTCATTGAAGGATTTTCCATAATTGGCGAAATTGGCTTTCTCTGCATTCGAATTCTTGGCATAAGATTGAAAGGAATCATCCCCAACATTTGATTTTTCCCTGTAAGTGGCGAAGCTATGAACACCAGCATTCCCACCATCGCCATAGTTCACGAAATTATTCTGTGGAACATTCCCATCAAATCCGTAAGACTTGAAAGTATCATTAGCCCCGTTGGCAGTCTCACCATAGTTGGTGAAATCTGAACCAATCACATTCGAGCCCGTCCCATAACCAGAGAACTCATTGGGAACTCCATTCCCGTTCTTCCCATAACTGGTGAACGCTTGACCCGGTCCAGCATTCGCATTCTCTGTGTAAGTCGAGAACTTCTGGCCCTTCCCATTAGCACTATCAGAATAGGAAGCGAAGCGAAGATTTGGGTTGTTTACCTCCACATTGTACCCCTTGAACTCTCCAGTGCCGCCAGTCGCACTAGCGCCATAGGTGTTAAAGCTCTGGTCAACAACGTTGGATTCAGGGGCATAGTTGGAAAACGTTTCGCCGTGACCGGCGGCGTCGCGGCCGTACCGACGGAACGAGTCGACCGGGATATTGTCACCATCGGAATAGTTCTTGAAAGAGTCCGCTCCACCGGCTCGATCAGTGCCGTAATTGGTGAAATTCTTGTTGTTATAGATAGCGAAATGGGAGTCATGGTCATGCTTTTCAAGACTAGGAGACAAATCAGGGAAGCAGAAGAGTTTGGCAGAGGAACAAAAGGCTGGGAGTTGAGCGGAGAGAGCATTTTGGGAGGCGAGTTTAGCAAATGTTGCCAAATCGACAGGATTCAACGGGGAGGCTTTGGAGATGAGAAAACCAGATTTTGGTAAAACCGTGTGGATCTCCTTTTTCCAGTACCGAACTAGAGATGCCTTGGGTGTAAATGGGCTCTCACCGTTTGGCGAATCTCCACTGCCAACCGCTGAATAATTCACCTGCAATGCATTGTGATTTGAGAAATAAACAGCAAGTTTTAACCAATAATTTGTATGAGAATCATGCATCTAAAACATAAAACAGACAAGAGAGAACAAGACTGAAAGCAGCAGTCAGGAGGACGCGGGCGTAGAGGATAGGCTTACTTACATTGAGCAATGAGACGAAGGAAAGGGAGAGAAGAAGGGTAATGGGGTGAAGAATATGCATTTTTTTAAGAGAGAAGAGTGAGAATGTTGGTGGGTTTGTAGGGTTGTGAATTGATGAAATATATATAAAAGGACCCTAAACTTTACAGAGGGAGGGGGGGGGGGGGGGGGGGGGGGGGGGGGGGGTGGAGAGAGAGAGAGTGTGTACTATTTAATGGGTGTAACAATTAAACAATATATATATTTTTAATTTAAAAAGTTTGTCTCTGGGTTTGTGGTTCCTGGTTCCTGGTTCCTGAGCATTGACACTCAAGGAGCCAAGACTCCGGTCGGCTGAGTTACAAGTCTTAACTCTCAAGTGCATAGTCGAAAAGACAATTAATCATACTGCCAGCAACTCGGGTTTCAAAGCCTACCCATTGGGCCATAACCCAACAAAAAATCACACACGCAAAAGGGAAAATTACAGACAGTATACCAGACTACTTGTGCATAATCTCAGCTGTAAAGGCAGGGGATATTCGAGAAAACAAAGTCAAAGGACGAAGAGGAAGAGAAGGGAGATGGGCTGTGGGAAGGGGACTGAAGAATGGGGTGATTTATAGGCCCCAATGTAAGCTGTATAGAACCCACAGAAGCTCTAAAAATACCACTGCGCGTATAAGGTTGTATGGCATTATTTTTCCTAGAAATGGATTTCTAGTGGGCACAATGGATCAACCAATTTATATTCTCTTCTCGAAGAGATAATACCAAAAACCCTCGATGTCATTGATAGGCCCCACTTTTCAAATAATTAAAAAAAAAAAAATAATTTGTCCAACACGAGCAGAGAAGTGTTTAAGTGTTAGATTAAAGGGTAAGAGTCAAGGGAGCTTTGACTCTTTTAGTGAAAGGCAGCTCGAAAATTGGGATAGAGGCTTGTACGCGATTTCTGATGGATACGTGTCTCCTCGTGATTGGCGAGATGTCACTCTCTCTTTCACGCGTTAGCCGCTCATGATTTTGTTTTACCATGTTACTAGTTTTGGAGTTTGTAGAATCTTTCCGTGACTCGATTTTGCTTTCAGCATTATGAGAAAATAGCAACCATTTCTAGCTCTGTCCTGAAGGACCTTGACAAAGCTCGTGATAATGGCACAGTATGTAATTCTATTCAGAGTTTTGAGAAGACTGGTTTCACGACTGATCACCTACCGTGTTTATCATTTAGTGCCTTTTGCAACTGTAGTTAAAGTTTGTATTTAAAAATAATATTTTTTTTAAAAAATATATTTAATATCAATATATTAAAATAATTTAAAATAAAAAGTAATTCAAAATTTATTAAAACTCCGATGCAAACATATCACCAAATAAACACTTCCTGATTCATTCATTATTTTTTAATAAACATGTTTACTTATGTTGTGTTTAATTAATGTTTTTTTTAAATAGATATAGAAATGATATAGATAAATTTAATAAAAATAAAATAATTTTTTAAATGAATATATATATATATATATATATAAAATAAACAGATATATTTTCTGTATTTCAATGGTCTTCACCTCTTTTATATGATGCAATAACCAAATATTATCTTCACATCAATGATGATTTTAGCAAAGGTAAGAAACATATTTGTTTTTCGGTTGTTTTGTGAATCTCAGCCGAGTTTCTAAACAAAACTATTTTAAGTTTGGTCCTTGATATATCAAATATAACCAAATTAACTTTATTATTAAAATTTATGACAAAAATATCATGGTTCCTCTTAATGTGAGCTATAGAATCAAAATATTAGGAATGAATTTTATTATTTCATGATTGTATACATCTGGATAGTTATGGGATTACATTTACTTTCTTGTCATAGTTATCTTAGGAAGGGTTGTTTGTATATATAAAGCACTACTTTGTAACATAAAAGAGAAGTGATAAAATCACATTTTATACAGGAATTTTTCTCTGATTTAACATGGTATTGGAGTAGAGATCCATTCTTTGCATCCTGAATAACTACTAACAACCTTAGAGAAACTAAGGCAATAGATGTACCAATATCAACTGACTTGATTGAATAAAAGCAACCGAATACAATTGTAAATTTTGACAATCTCATGAAAAGAATGGATCATGTTGTAACTCAGAACCATACCTAGACCCCAACAATAATCTATGATATTGTAGCTGTATAGATTGGTATCAAACTTGATGCCACTAATTATGTTTTATGGTTCTAAATCGTGGAGATGTATATCTTACAAAAAGATATTTGAGATATATAAATGATGACCTTTTACAACCAAAACTGAATGATCTCAATTTTAAAAAATGAAAAATATATAATTCTTTTATGAAGAGATGACTAATCGACTCAACAAATCCCTCTTTCATAAAAAAAACTTTATTTGATTCCCAACTATTAATCAAGTATGGGATTCAATCATTACTACTTACTTTAATGTGCTCGATACATCTTAGGTGTATAATTTGAAAAGACAAGTAACATGAATGAAACAATCAGAGAATCTATAGAATCACATTATAATTATCACTAAGGCTTATAAAAGGAAATTGATTTTTATAAACAAATCTTATGGAATGTGCTAGTGACATATAAAAGTATAATGCTTTCCTTCAAGATGATTGAGTTTATACTTGTTTGGATGGACTAGATGACATGCTCAACAAGATAAGAAGTGATGTACTTCAATTGAACCCATTTCCAATAGTTAAACAGGTTTATACCCATGTTCAAAGAAAAGATATCAAACATACAATTATACTCATAAATAATGAGAATCCTACTACTATAGCTATGGTTTCTAGAAGAGGAAATGACAACAAGCACTATAGAAAGCTAAATACGAGACATCTTCATCAAGAAGATGTAATATATATAATTTAGCAAAAACTAAATGACAAGTGGAGAAAAAAAAACAATAATTGTTCTCATTATGAAAATATAAAGAATATACAAGACACACATCCTTGTGTCTGCCAATGTTGATTATCATGTACCACCAGCAGTTACCTGTTTCTTTCGTGCCTTTAACTCATTTCACCATTCCAGGTAACCATGAAAATATAAAGCATATATAAGACACATGCTTTAAATTACATGGTTACCTGGAATGGTGGAATAAGTTAAAGGCACGAAAGAAATAGGTAACTGTTGGTGGCACATGACAATCAACATTGGCAGACACAAGGATCCAACTATAATTAACTTCATTAGTAGATTTAAAAGATGATGCCATAATTCATTCTAAAGATCAAGGTAATAATTGCTATTATACTAGCAGTACATTACTTGCTTCTAAGGAATCTAATAATAACCTAATAGTGGACTCTGGTAGAACAAATCACATGACTTTAAGTCTAAAAGACTTTGTCAATATTACAAAACTAAGGTGGACTAGTATATCCAATGTTAGCATCGTTGAATATCCTGTTACAGGGGTTGGAACAATGCATATATCACCCTTCATATCATTGACTATACTTTATTAGTGCATTTTATTTTAAATAAGTTGTTGTCTATAAGTCAAGTTATCGAAGAACTAAACTGTATAGTACTAATGTATTTAATTTTTTTTCCAGGATATTCTCATGAAGAAGATTATTGGGCATGGTACTACGAGAGAGGGGTTATACTACATAGATGACTTTAGTCTATGTAAAGTCAACCCCATGAATTGTTCAGTATTTGCAAAAAAAAAAAAAAACAAATTTGGCAATGATATTATTGATTTGGGCACCCATCATTTAGCTATATGAAGTATTTGTTTACAAAGTTATTTTTGAATTCAAATTATTTAAGCTTTAGATGTGAAACTTGCATTTTAGCCAAGAGTCATCATATATATTTTCCAATCAATTTTAATAAAAGTGATATCTCTTTTGCTTTAGTTCATTCTGATGTTTGAGGACCATCTCTTATTATAACTATATCTGAAAGAGTTGGTTTGTAACCTTTATGAATGATTATACTAGGATGATATGGTTATATTTGTTGAAACACAAATATAAAGTATTTGATATGTTTCATACATTCATGCTATGATTTATAACCAATTTTTAATAGAATCTAGATTCTTTGATCTGATAATGAGGGAGAGTATGTGAATAATGATTTCTCATCATTTGTTTTTTAAAGAAATGATATTCTAAATAAATTGTTATGTAGTCAAACTCCCCAAAATAATGGATTGGTCAAACAAAAAAAATGACATATTTCAGAAACTGCACATGTATTATTATTTGGAGCACAAATACTAGGTCAAAAATAGGATGATAGTGTTGCCACCACTGTTTATTTGTTGAATCACATGCCTTCTAAAACTTTGAGATTCAACATTCCACTATTAGTTTTGTCATAACATGTTACTCTATTGTCTATACTTCTTATTCCACTGTATGTGTTTGATTATGCTGTATATATTCATCTACATAAAAATCAATGAACAAAACCTAAACTTTGTACTGTTCGTTGTATGTTTCTAGACTACTACTACTACTACTACTACTATTATTATTATTATTATTATTATTATTATTATTACTATTGTTGTTGTTGTTATTGTTGTTTTATAATTGTTGTTTATAATTTGTACAATTAACCTCCCTGTGGTTCGACCCCGGTCTTGCCGGGTTATTTATTACTTCGACACTCCTGCACTTGGGAGAAGACATCAATCTTTTAGTCGTGTCAAGTTTTTGGCGCCGTTGCCGGGGAGGTAAGTTCTTGTATAAATTATAGTATTTATTTTATTTTCTCTTTTCACTTTTCTTGTATATAACTTTGTTTCTTTTCTTTTGTTTCTTTTTATTTTGTTTTCTTCCTCCTTCTTTTGCTTTCTTGTTCTTCTTTTTATTTTATTCCTACACGTGCATGAGAGTGTGGTCACGTACATCAAGTGGTAGACTTTGTAGGGTATCCTCATCATTTTCAGAAAATATGGCCGAAGAAGATAATCAATCACTTCATAATGAGAATAATGAGAATAACCGTGCTAGAACACTTAGAGACCACATGAATCCCACAAGAACAAGTGCACCATCATGCATAGTTTTTCCTCCTGATGCATCTCATTTTAATTTTAAACCAGGTATTATTCAACTTTTACCTTCTTTTCATGGTTTGGAATTGGAAAATCCATACTTG